CAGTTTCAGTGCGCCGGAGGACGATGAATGAGACTTTTTGTTGGACCAGAAACTGTTAAAGAAAACTACCAAAACTAACTACCATAACTTCATTTCTGGACATTTATGGTTTGATTTCTTTGTATGTATGGATCACTTGGGTTGTTACCGACATCTGGTGAAAATTTCATGTCATTAGCACCTCTAGTAATATATTTACTGAGAAAAATGTTGACGTGTTCAATACTTCTTTTACCCGCTGTATGTTTTTTTATTTTTTATTTACCAGCACTACTTTAAAAACTACAAAGTTTACATTTTAAGCAAAGTTGTGAAACTTTTTTTGATTTGACAAATGTCACTGAAAACAGAACTGTAAAGAACAGAGCCGTGTCCTTGCGTATCACCACAGTTTAGTCTGCGGAGTTGATAAAAAAAGAACTTGTTTCCCAGCAACGATGAGCTCCTGTTCTCTTTATTTTCCTTGGTTATTCTGCTTTTCTACATTGTCTGTGATCAAGGTCTCTGTGGACAAAGTAAGACAGCTTCAAGCTTGACTTCAGAGGCAGTTTTCATCCTTGGCTACAGTCAAATAAAACGGATCATTGCTAAGTCATGTGACCTGCTTCAGTTGGTCAAATTAAATGAGTTAGCAGAGGGTTTTAGGTGGAAAAGTGTCCTACACAAATAAAACAGCTGTTTGTTTGCACATTTTTATATATTTTTTAACGATCCATTCAGCTGTTTTTTTTTGTTTGTTTGTTTGTTTGTTTGTTTGTTTGTTTGTTTGTTTGTTTGTTTGTTTGTTTGTTTGTTTGTTTTTTGTTTCAGGTGGTTGTATCATAAAGAATCAGTCAAACCAGACTCTGCAGTTCTGTGCTGATTTGTTGGGCCTGGACCAGGACGACCTACGTGTCAGCCTCACAACAAGAGTCATGCTTACGACATCAGGGGGCGCCAAAGGCACAGTTATCAAGTAAGATTCACTGTAATGAGTTTCAAACGTCCAAGGCATTGTAAAAAAAAAAGCTTTCAAATGAAATCATTTAAACATGGTTTGTTAACAGTAAATTTAACATTTTAATGAGGTTAAATAAGACTTCCTCAGTAGAGTTTCTTTCTGAATCTTGTCATCAAACCAAGTCCTTCACAGCTGAAATGAACTCCCTGACTGGTGTTTCAGTGCAGGTAAAAGAACATATTCAGAGGAGAACTTGACATTGACACTGCTTTTGTGTACCTTGATGGCGATGCGGCGTTTGAGTGATGTGGCCCTGTTTGCTAGATTAATATTTTAAAACAGCCAGATGCTAGACTGGCCTGGAAGTGTTTCCTCCTCATTAATAATGCAGCTCGCGTCTGAAGAGGCCGAGGAGCGTGGCTGCAGTACAGTGAAGCCCCGGCGTCCGGGGAGCAGGTGGAGGGATGAGGGACGGTCTTTGTTGCTGAGATCCAGACGAAACGGCTCCACCCCTGGGAGGTGGCAGGAGGGGGCAACAGAAGGGGGCGGAGACAACAGAGACTTTGAAACTTGTATGAATATGAAACATTGCGGCCGATGAAAACGCCTGTCACTGTGATTAATTGTAAGGATCATCTGTGTTTAAGTACTTCTGTCAGGAATGAGAGTTTTACTGGTAAAAGTTTAGACCAGAGAAGCCCAAAGTGGGGCCCGTGGGCCAAATTTGGCCCGCCAAGCCATTTGATTTGGCCCACCAACAGTTGCCAAAGTTACAAGGTTGTAACCTGTTATCCTATAGAAACACAGTGTTTCCATTGGTCAAATGACTATGTAAAAGTGAAGGTAGTTTTCAGTCATGGTGCTGACATTTCTTTGATTTATTAGGATTAAACATGAAACATGAAATGACAACAAGAAATATTTAGATCAGATTTAACCACACATGTAGATTTGCACACTTTATAAGGCCACAAAAACTCATATTTTATCAATTTATGAAATGTCCCATGAGCCTTTGCTACTTGAGCGTATGGCAGACTTTCTCCAGACAAAAGAGGGCCATTGCATAGCTTAATCGTTAAAAATAAAGGACTTTACTTAAAAAAGTATTTGTATTTCATGTATTATATAACTGCATTTGGCCCGCAGCCATGGATAGATTTTCATTTTGGCCCCCTCGGGGAAAATGTTTGGGCACCCCTGGTTTAGACTAAAAGGAGCTAGTGGGAGAAGATACAGCAAAGCAAAGTAGTTATATTATCATTTCAAAMTTAATTTCTTACTTGCTGGAACAGCTGAGTTGAGCTCTTAGCCAATGGAGAGGTGCACTTTTTGTCAAACTGTTCAGCATCTTCAAATAATTTCAACAAGTCTGCTGAATGCCCAGCAGATTTTTGGGTACCACTTTACAATAAGGCTCCCCTTATAGATGACTTATAAATAGTTTATAGATCGGTTATTAATTCATCTGTAGACACTTTATAAATCGTTATAAGTGTTTATTATTCACTAATTAAGGACGGAAAAGAGACAAAATTGTCTTGTTTCTTGCCAAATAGTGACCCAAATCTGTTCATGTATATATTACATCTAAAGGTGCTTTATTAAACATTTCAGACTAGGTCACTACCTTGTAAGCACAATAATTTATTGAAAACACATATTTTACATGTAATATTGAACTGTATTACTGCATTATACAGTACATATCCACAGTAATCAAAGGGAGCTTTATTGTAAAGTGTAAAACAGCATACTATTTATTAATGACTAATAATGTCATAACAGATCCTTATAGTGTCCTGTTTTTCACTTTACAATAAGGCTCCTTTATGTCATTTATACATAAAGGATTTATTTATTTGTCATTAATAAATAGTGTACCTACTGTCTTACATTTTACAATAAGGCTTCCTTTGACAGTTAATATGTATATTTCAGTAATATAGTACAAATATTATTTTTTAAATATGTGTTTCCAATACCTAATTATGCTTACAAACCTAGTAATATGTACACGAAGAGATTTGGCTCACTATTTGGCAAGACAGTTTTGTCTCTTTCCCTCTTTTAATTAATCCATAATAAACATTTATTGACGATTTATAAAGTGTTTACAGATGAATACCTATCTATAAATTATTTATAAGCCATCTATAGGGGGAGCCTTATTGTAAAGTGGTACCAATTTTTGTTTCAATGCCCTCTCTTTAACTGAGAAACCCTCAGGTAGGACAGAGTGTCGCTCCAACTAAAAAATATTCGATGCCCCAATAAAAATGGGGTTGATAGAAAAATCAAGAGTCAAGGTTGTCCCAGTTATGAATTTTATCTCCCTGCCCCACTTTGTGTGTGTGTGTGTGTGTGTGTCCCCAGGGTGCCTCTAAAGGTGGAACAAGCGAACAATGCCCGTGACGCCCTGGCCAAGACAGTATACAGCCGCCTCTTTGATCACGTGGTCCAGCGTGTAAACCAGTGTTTCCCTTTCCAGACCTCCTCCAACTTTATTGGCGTGCTGGACATTGCTGGGTTTGGTAATAAAATGTTGTCTGGTAGTTTTAAATATAGTGTACAACTTGTAGCACAGTGGCATAAAAAGCCGTAATATTCTTCTTGTTACTTTCTAAATTGACTGCTTTTTGCTCCCATCTGGATGCCATTTTATGTCGCTATGTTCAGAATTAAGATTCCTGTCTGCGCATTCATTTAGACACTCTGATGCATATAAACACTTCATTACRGGGCCTCTTGCTTGAGAAATCATTTCCCCATTGCTATAATTAAAATGAGCTCAACAGATTTTTTTTTTCATTTGGAGAATTAATTGAAATCCATGTTTTTCTGCTTCTTCTATTTCTTCTTTTCTAAGAATATTTCGAGCATAACAGCTTTGAGCAGTTCTGCATCAATTACTGCAATGAGAAACTGCAGCAGTTCTTCAACGAGCGCATCCTCAAGGAGGTGAGTGAGCATCCTGTGGAATAATGTGATTACGTGTGGTTTACCTCCCTTTTTTTTCCCTGGGAATCCTGCCACATMGAGTCACAAATGAGCCAAACTTATTGACTCTTTCATGAGGCAGAGATGGTTGGCACGCTAAGCTTTCCTTTTGTTTTTTTTTTCTTTTATATTTTCTCCTATGTTCGCTCTCATTAGAATGGTAATTTCTCATGGGACGTGACGAGGCTTGTTTTTTCTCTCCTGTGATCTTTTAACAATATTCTTTTCCAAGGTCTGTAATTATTCCTGTTTTAGCCTCTGTCTAGTTATCCGAATGTTGTCAGTTTGCTATTTTGACGTGCTTTTATTTTTTTAAGAAGTTAGAGCATCCCTCAAAAAAAAAAACATGTTTTTTTTACATCAATATTTTTTCTTTCCACGTTTTAGGAGCAAGAGCTTTATCAAAGGGAAGGGCTGGGAGTGAATGAAGTACATTACGTTGATAACCAGGACTGCATAGGTAACCCTCTGCATCAGTTTATCTTGACACTGCACTTTTGAGAGTTTTGCCGTGTGCACACAGTCACTACTGGAAACTTTCTCCTGAAGCTGATAGTAACAGCAGACTTGACCTGATTTCAAATGCCCAAGAATCAAAATTCTATATGTGCTACTGGTGCCTTAGAGGATTCTTGTAAATGAAAACAGACAAACCYGTCAATCGTAAACATTTCAGAGGTTATGCTGCGAAATATTAAATGTTTTTTACCAACCAGAATAAAGACAGGAATCAAAATACCACATATTTCTGAGGTTGGTTTTAGAAAAATTTTCACTCACTAGCCATCTTTCCATCAACACTTTTTTTGCGCATTTTGTAGAGGTTGATGGAAATGGCCAAATTCGAGAAAAAATTCCTCAATTTCGCGAAAAACTTTTTAACGCTGGCTTGAGCTGGTTTTCGGATTCTCAGAAAAAGAGTTGATGCTCAAAAGGGAAAATGGAAACACACTTGGCAAATAAGTTTTGACGTAGCAAATACTTACCTCACATGATGTTGGCATCTTCCCGGATATTCCCTTAATAAGAGAAAACATAGCTGGAAGCATGTGTGGACTGACGGCATGTATCAATATCAATACTAGTGGATATGACAGAACAATTACAACTTGTCCAATAGGAAGACATTCCTGAAAACTTCTCTCCATTGTCCTGAGATGTGTGGTCCCTGCTACAACTTCTACTTCCTGTTTTCTTAGAACCATGCGTAACATGTTGTAGGTCTGATGAAATTACGCTCCAAACCAGTAGATGGACGCCTGATTCGCTTTTTTTTTTTTAAGTTTGCTCAGAATTCACATTYCAATTGATGGAAACATGGCTACTGATGCTTTGTTTTGGGTCATTTTTCTGAGCTCCACACCAGAGCAGCAAAACTACACTGGGTGAAAGGACAAACACTTATTTCCTCTTATTATTCTCAGAGCTGGCATCTCTGAGGGCAGCAAGTTCAACGAGTATTTGTGGGGTCTGTGGCCTTTCTTGTATAATGAGAAGCTGGAGAAATTATGCCCCTTGTTTTGGTTGCGTCTGTCCTCGAATGAATCCCAGAATTAATGAGATGAAGTAGTCCACSTATCAAGGTGAAGCAGTTTGATTTGTATTTCAAAGGTTGCGATTATTCAGGTGTGAGGCTAACTGACAGCACTGAATAACATTTATGACTTGCAAATGACCGTTTGGGATGGCCATTAATTCACTCATCAATCTACAGGATTTATGCGCAGGTGCTTGTTCATGGAGATTTTTTTTCTAAGGTCCTTGGCCATCGCACTATTTTCTAAACAGCATGTTGTATGAATAATTCAAATACGTGTCTAAATGAGCCTCCAGATGAACGAGTTTTCTACTTTTGGAAGATGCGAACTTGAAAAAGAATAAACAGTGGAAACTTCCACTAAATCTTACGTTTGCAGACAGAACACAGTCGTTCAACACTTTAAGTAAATACACTGTGGAGAATCATTCTGATGTTTTGTAACTGATTGAAGTTTGGGAATTTTAGAGGTTTGTCAGTTTGGATGTTTTATGGTTTAACTAGCATTTAGCTTGACATAAGTATTACAATCAAAATACTACGTAGACTCTTCAGAGCTAGATTTAAACATGATCCTGACATTGATAATTAAATAGCTGACTTTTCCAGATCTTGTGGAGGCGAAGCTGGTGGGAATCCTGGACATTTTGGATGAAGAGAACCGTCTCCCTCAGCCCAGCGACCAACATTTTGCACTGGCTGTTCACGGCAAACACAAAGACCACTTCAGACTGACGGTCAGACCTCTGAGCCGCGCTCGCTTTTCCTCTTTCTTACACTCTTTTACTTTGGCTCTCTCTTTTCCCATGCTTTGTCTCCAGCTCTCTGCCATTGTTCCCCTTTGTGTTTTTAGTTCCTTTTGTTAGACTGGAAAAAATGTAACTACACATCTAGTCTGTCATTGTGAATGCTGTTACTTCTGCTGGGAGTTTTTTTTTATTTCTTTTTTCTTTTTTTTTTTTCTTTTACCAGTTCCACTCCTTCCCCCGGCTGTTCTTTGTCTTTATTGTTGGACACTCTGCCTGCTTATCTGCAAACATGAAATCCCTTTAAGAATTTAGCCTTGACGCTCATTCAAGCTTAAGTTTCGAAGTGGCCGGCTGCAGCCACGCTATTTTCGTCTCCATTGACGGCTATTCTGTGCATTCAATAGGGCTGAAAAAATGAATGTAAATGTTTGAATGTGCTGTGGTAGCAAACGTCTCTGCTTCAGTTTTCACAGTTTTTTCCCCCCTACAGGGTCAGTTGTCATGGTTCTTCCTGCTGATGATGAAACTAATTGAGCTCAAACTTTTGTTAAGGTTTATTCTGAAAAATGATTGACGTCTGGAGCCTTTCACAAGTGTTGTTCTGAAAAGGATGAATGTGGCATTGAGAAAGATCTCAAAGAATTGTTCAGATGCACTTTCTGAGCACAATTTACCCTGAACAAAGTTTTAAAGGAATGTGTGTATTTATTAGCTCAAGCAGGTGTAGTTGGGAAGTTTAGTTCTTCAGACTTATTGACCAGATTTTGTTTATTTATTTATTTACACACCCAGGTTCCCAGAAAGTCAAAGTTGGCCGTTCACAGGAATCTTCGGGATGACGAAGGTTTTATTGTCAGACACTTTGCTGGAGCCGTCTGTTACGAAACGGTAATTCTTAACATAAATCATATAATGGATTTACAAAGAGCTGCACATAATCCATTCTTAAAATATTCCCAAGCAAGTATTTTTTTACTTATGTTGAGTCATTGAATATTATCCATTATATCATCCTCTGAAAGATTATTTATCCTAGTGTAAAGATGACAGCGGCTGCTAAAGTTTGATAGATGCTGACAGACTGCTGATGCATAAATGTATGGGAATGCGTGTGTGTGTTGACAGACAAGGTTCGTGGAGAAGAATAATGATGCCCTCCACATGTCATTGGAGAGTTTAGTGTGTGAATCAAAAGACAAATTTGTGCGGGAGCTGTTTGAGAACTCCAACACCTCCAAGGACTCCAAGCAGAAGGCGGGGAAGCTCAGCTTCATCAGCGTTGGGAACAAATTCAAGGTCAGAGTGGTAGTTAAAGCTATTTTTTTCCCTCTTGTTAGACAATATAATGGTCCCTGCAAATAAATAAATCATTACTGTGTGGATATGTGTAAATCCACTGAATGTAGACTCTTGGGTGCCAGAGTACTTTGTGTTATTTTGGATCTTTTTTAAATTTGAATTTTCAGAAATTTAAAAAAAAAATAAAACTTTGGTACAAACTACAAGTAAAATAATCCAAGAATTATAGTGTTCTAAATATTACCAGACGATATTTTTCAGGCTTATTTTGATTTGCTGATTTGAACCTTTTTAAGCTTCTTTTCAGTCTAACTTTTAGATCTGTTGTGTCACTTTTTCTCCTTTCCATTTTCCAGTTTCCCACCTTATTCTGTGCTCCTCTCTTAGACTTCCTCCAGTCTCTCACCTCTTTCCCTCTGAGAAATTCTTCTTTGGTGGATAAATCTGGATAAAGTCTGCTTGAGGTATAAAGGCAGAGTCTGATAGCAGGAGGGGGGAAAAACTAAGGGAACAAAAACTGAGACTTTGAGACTTTCTCACAGATTTAGGTGTCGCAGAAGGACAAAGTTTCAGTGAGGCTCAGCAACAATACCCAAGTTATTATTCATTCCTGATTGATTTCTCAAACCGCTTTTGCTAACCCGGATGTGCAGCTTTTATTTAAATTTACTTGTCTTGTCTGCCACCTTCCAAACAAATATTTAAAACAGTTCTCCTTTCCTGCTCAGACCCAGCTGAACCTGCTGCTGGAGAAACTTCGCAGCACTGTGAGTAAAACGGTCATTAAAATAAACATCAGTTTTTACAACAATATAAAAAACTGGTAAATATGATTTGAGCTGATGGTGAAGTAATGAGTCAGAAGGAGTTTTTTTTTCCCCCGACGCATGTTTGTGTGTGCAGGGATCAAGTTTCATCCGCTGTGTAAAACCCAACCTAAAGATGGTGAGCCACCAGTTTGAAGGAGCTCTAATTCTCTCTCAGCTGCAGTGCTCAGGTAGGAGCCAAACAAAACACCAAGTAGAGGATGTTTATAAAGCAGTTAAACCTTTCAAACCACTGGCTGGTACTATGAGAACAGCAGTAATCTGAGTGATGTTTGTCTGGATTAGGAATGGTGTCCGTGTTGGACCTGATGCAGGGGGGGTTCCCCTCCAGGGCTCCCTTCCATGAGCTCTACAACATGTATAAAGCATACATGCCTGACAAACTCACTCGACTGAATCCTAGACTCTTCTGCAAGGTGGGCTTATTAAGCTGGGGAGATGCTGTGTGCTGCAGGAGTTTAATAATAACTAAATCTGCTTATATAATACCTAATTAGTTAGGTAATTTTTTCAGTGCTAAATTAACAAACAAATATTTGAATGGCTTAAATTCTTACCACTACTGCTGTACCCCTAAATGTCTTTTTTCCCCCTTCCACAGGCTTTGTTCAAAGCACTGGGTTTAAATGATAATGATTTTAAGTTTGGATTAACTCGAGTGTTCTTCCGCCCAGGGAAGGTAAAATATTCARGTTGTCTGTCATTACACATAAACCTGTTTTGACTCATTGAAAACGGGTCATAGATTGATTTGTATCTGTGTGCATCAGTTTGCTGAGTTCGACCAGATCATGAAGTCGGACCCGGAGCACCTGGCCGAGCTGCTGAAGAAGGTCAACAAGTGGTTACTGTGCAGCTGCTGGAAGAAGATCCAGTGGTGCTGCCTGTCGGTCATCAAACGTAGGTTCAATTTCTTGRTGGAACACAAAGTGCAAAAAGTAGCTGAAGCAGCCTAAAACATATTTAGGATAATAGAGATTGTTGGTTCTCGTTTAACTGGGATAATTTCCCCACTTCAWGTGGGCTTTGCAAAAATTGACTTTCTCAAAATACAGCCAGAGTTAAGCTTACTTTTTATGTTCCTAGCACTTCCCTTCTGTTATTGTTCCACTCTTCGTCACCTCGCCTGGGGCAGGTTTTTCACACTGACACTTTTACTACTTTTCATTTCCTTTCGATTATTGAAAGAAGCAGCCTCTGGCTGTAAGGAATAGCACTCCACAAGCACATCCTTGTTGCTCTCAGTGCCAAGTTATCAATTTCTGCCAAATTCACAAAGTGCAGACGGGCTGTGGTATATTTGTATATAGGCGTGAAATGAAATTACATTTCAGCTGTAACTGAGCGCTGCCTCTGGTGCTGGTCATTTATTCTTTCTGTCCTATTATTCCAACACTCTGCCTTATTAGGACTGTTTCATTTGTGTGAGTGAGTGGGAATGCTATGTTCAATTTCAATCTTTAAAGGAAACTATGTTCATATAATACGTCAGAGAGCAGAATTTATATGCTCCTTAAAATGAAAATAAATTATAGATCAATTCTCTGTACTGTAAGTATTTTTGTATGCCTTTTTTTCTCCTCCCAAATACAGTCAGGAATAAAATGAGTTACAGAGCTGTGGCCTGCATTAAGATTCAAAAGACTGTCCGCATGTGGTTGTGTAAGAAGAAGCATAAGCCAAGGTGAGTTTCTTTTTTAAATTGTCTTTTTAAAAATAATTGTTTTTCTCTGTGATTTTTTTTTCTACTTAAATGGATTCACAAAAAGTTGCATTCCATAGTTTTCTCACATCACATAATTACAAGTTCAGATTAGTTTAGAAAGTCACCCATGGCTCATGAGAAACTACTTTTTTTTTTTTCTGTTCTGGCACAGAATCGATGGGATGGTGAAAGTTCAGAAACTGAAGCAGCACATGGAGCGTTTCAACGAGGTGGTGAACGTGCTGAAGGAAGGAAAACAAGAAATGGCCAAACAAGTTCAGGAGCTGGCCGTTGCCATCGATGCTCTGTTGGCAAAAATAAGAGTGAGGCACAGATTTAATAAATGTATATTTATTATGAGATTTTTGGTGTTTCAGTAGCTCAGTGGTCAGTGCTGCTGCCTCATATTCTTAAGGCATATGATTTGAGGTTTCCTCTTTTCAATGATGTCAAGAAATCCTAATTGGAATATGGAAAAATAGGATTCAGACCTGTTTTATAGGGGTCTTCCTGATTAGTAAGACAAATCAAGCCGTATATTTGGATTTGTTGCATATATGTACAATTCTGTTGATTCCAAGCTTAATTTTGTAGTTTTTCAAATACTTTGAAACTTATTTACTCTAAGCATCCATAAGTGTGTAAACATACTGTCAGTATGTTTAGTGTCACCGTGTTTAAACCTTTACCCGAAGCTTCTTTGTGCCATATTTATTTGTCCAGACACGTAAACCCTCAGCACAACCAATCGCCTCACAGTAGAGGTTAGATCTTATCCTTGTGTTATACAGTATATGCTCCTCTATAACACAAGGCTAACACATGCTCCCAAATGTTGTCCTTCCTCTTTTTTTTATTACAGAATCAGTATTTCCAGTGACCATAATATAAGCGTGTGATGAAGACGACTCCTCTCCACTCCAATAATTTAATTTACTGTAGCCGTTTTGCTAAATTATCAGTCCAATTTGGTTAGGGAAAACCCAGCTCTCCCAGCACAATATGCACCCATCTTATTGGACCCTCTAGGTTCAGCAACCTGTCATTACTCGCCATCTAGATTTGGTGTGCAGCATTCCCCAGCTAGGCTGATGCTGTTTTTGAATCAGCAAATTTAATTTGAGACACCATCTGTATTCTGATTGACACTGAGGAAGCAGTGACGCCTTTGTTTTTTTTTCTCCCCCATCCCGAACAGCCAGCGTAGGTTTCCAGTGTTAAACTGTTAGGCCGTTAGCATCCGTGCTGTCAACACGTGTGACATTCTGAATGTTCTGAAATTGCTCCTGGCGTGGTGTGAATAATGCATAAGGTGTCATTCAGACCTCTATACATCGGGGGACAAGACCTTGTCATCTCCCCTCCTCATGTCACTGAGACTCACTCTAATAAACCCTCACAATACGCTGACCTTTTCTCCCCTTGCTTGTGTCTGACAAGTATATGGAGAATTCACCCTTGCGGCTGCCAAGTGCAAGTGACAGACACACTGTCAGTCAGTGGGTTTCTTGTTGCCACATGGGAAGGTTGTAGAAGAAATGTGTGTGTTGTGTTGCTAGCTTTTCCTGATCATTTCCACTTTCCTGAATGACACTCAGCACAAGACCCAGTTTCCTTCTACCAAACTTGGGACCATATGGTAGCAGTCTGTAAACGTCGGAGGAGTTTTATAGTAAACAAACACCTTGCTCATTCTTTTAACAACCTGTACCTTTGAGCGCCACAAGTCGTGAGGTTAAAGGTGACCAATTATGGGTCCTAGAAATTTTTATGGTATGTCTGTGGGCTATCCAGACCATGTTCATTCAATTTAATCCCCACACAAAATAATTCTCAGATAACAAAATTTCCCATTTTCTAGTAGGGTTGGGCATAATCGTATCGTGTGCAATTAATCGTGAGAAAAACATTAATCGATTATTTTTTGGCTCTTGACGATTAATACAATTAATGCCACCAGTCAGACTGACTGGATATTTCCCCGGTCAGTCTGCTCGGTGCTCCTCTCCGCTTCAAATATGACAAACATTTTTAAAAAAGTTCTGTAATTTATCTATCGACACAATTTAAAATTTTAAGTATACCTTAAGTCTGTGATTTTGACACAATTTGGAACAGATTTTTATGAAGAGCAAATCTTTCCCACTAAATTGGTCATGTCTAGGACATAAGGGTGTCCAGGGACTCCAGGGGATTAATCGTCAAATTAATCGTAATCGGCTAAATACCACAATTAATCGTGATTAATTTTTTTGGCAATATCGCCCAACCCTATTTTCTAGTTCTGCCTGCTCTGACTTGCATTCAGAAGAGCTGTTTATGCTAATGAGCTCTGTTTGTAACACCCTCCAAAAATCTGTTGACATTAACTCCGCCCTCCAAAAATCTGTTGACATTAACTCCACCCTCCAAAAATCTGTTGACATTAACTCCGCCCTCTAAAGCCAGCGTTTACGTTAGCATGGCTAACAATAGCAGAAGCTCCATTGTACAACCATATACAGTATATGAGACCCTGAGGCAGAGTCGTGGTTGCAGCTTCTTTTTTTTCTCCCCCTCCTCTACTCTGCACTCTGTTACCAGAGCAGGGAGCAGCAGCGGTCAAAACACCTCAGAAACTCGAACAAYTAGGCTTTAACAAGGCTTTAATAAGCTAAACAATAGAAGTATATGAGAAAACGTGTTCATAACAAATGAAAATAAATAATTAAATTGTGTCCATGCCGGTCTCAAACCCTAGTGTCCCGCTCTTTGGTCCAACGCTCTACCCATTGCCCTATTGGAGTCTTGTTGTGAAATGAGCTGCGCATTACACAACAATCGTGACGGCTTTTTATACTGAGGAGGTGGAACCTCACCCGGGGGTTGTTAGGTGAGGGGCTGAACGCAGGTGCCGGTGGGTTGTCGTACGGCTTGTGACATCACAAAATGACGGAAGTATAAAACTTGTCGTTAATATACATTAAAAATACATTTACTTACAGTAAATATGTGCCTGGGTGCATTTTTTTTTGGTGCTAGGACTGTTTTTTTTAAGAAGTACATACCCAAAGTTGAGTAAAAAAACCTTTAAAATGTGAATTTTGCATAATAGGTCCCCTTTAAATTGAAAAGGAAATGTTTCCTCCATTTCATTTACAATCACGATCTATCATTCATATGTCTTTTGACCACCAGGCCACAGTGATGACCTGGAAGGAGATTGACACAGAGTACCAGGGGCTGGTGAAACACTCTGAGCAGCTGCTCTCCTCCATCAAAAAGAAGAAGCAGGAGGAAGAGGAGACCGAGAGGCTGAAGCGTATCGAGGACGAGATGGAGAAAGAGAGGCAGAGGAGGGAGAAGGAAGAGCAACGGCGCAAACAGGAGGAAGACGACAGAAAACTGTAAGCTGGTGATGATGGAGGAGTCACCGCAGAGGTGTTTGTAAATGAGCAACAGTGACAGGTGTTTAACCTTTGTAGAGTTTCCCTTCACAAAAAAATACATTTCCATTTATGGTTTCTAACTTTAGCAAAGCAGAGATGGAACTGAAACGGAAGCAGGAAGAGGAGGAAAGAAAAAAGAGGAAGGAGGAAGAGAAGGTCATTCAGGTGTGAGCTTCTTACTCTTTGATGTTCCTCTATTAGGTGTTTTCTGTAGGAAGATATGACTTAAAATGTGAAAAAAACTTACAAACTGTCAACAATTTGTAAATAAATGCATTTTAAAAGGCAATTGAATTAATTTTCTCACAACAAACAAACAAACAACAAATTTTATTTAATACAACCACTGATTTTATTAACTTAATGTCAAACAAAACAATATAAAGTTTATTGTTGAACAGCTAGTAGGTTTTGTGTTTTTTGCTTTTTTTATTTAACCATAAGGTCAGTATTATCAAGAAAGTCTAACTATTGTTGAATGTTTGTTCTTCCCCCAGTTTCAGACAAATAATCAGGAAAATTTTTATTAGCTGCCAAAAACACTTGTAATTTGGCCTAATTAGTCTTTGCTGGGTTCTCATTGTTTAGAAATGTCTGGCACYTGGGTTAGTTTTAGTTTGATGACAAGAACATAGTTTATGTAGATTATATACAATCGGATCAAGTGTGTCTTGTGGTCTGTGTGTCCACAGGCTGAGCTGGAGAAGCAGATGGCTCTGGAGCGTGAGGAGCAGGCCCAGCACGCTGCAGTATTGGAGCAGGAGAGGAGAGACAAGGAGCTCGCCATGAGAATCGCTCAGAGCGAGGCTGAGCTCATCAGTGACGAAGGCCAGGGYGATCCGTCCCTGCGCAGGTACCGCATCTGCAGGGTAATCCGTGATATCAGAGTGTCGTGCGCTGTGAATAAGTAATGCGGACCCAGCCTGACCTCAGCATGCAAATGTAACRGACTCTCTCCTGTTGCAGTGTTTTCTACATCGATGACTCTTTTTCAGATCTTCCTATCTCTTCCTCCTCAGCCAGAGCCATGTAAGAAATCAGAACCAAGTGTAACTAATACTTATTGTAGACGGTAGTTTAGTTCCTCACACTCTTAGGTCCCGTCCACACGAGAAGAGTACTTTGTGAAGATGTACGGTTTGTTTTGTTTTCACTTTTCAAACTTGCGTCCACACAGAAACAAKTTCGGAGTCCCTAAATGGTATTTTCAGAGAAGGAATAAAATCTCTGAACGACACCTTTGCGTTCTTGTGTGGATAGCCTAAATGCAACCTTTAGAAAATTATGATGTCACAGACCTACTTCTTATCAAACCTYCAACCCCAAGCTTTACAAGAATAACAACCATAAGGATATGGTATTTATGCATTTATTTAGWTTTTCAACTACAGCAAAAAWTTTTGTATGCTGTTTTACCTCAGAATTATTGTTGTCGTTATTGTTCAACAGTCTTGTCTGTTGAACAATAACAGCCTTAAATAGACCCAAATCCTCTTCTAATTATAGTGATGCCCCAATTTTAGCAGGGGTCACGTTATTAGAGTACCCACGAATTATGAAAAATGTGAATACTGAATTTGTTCCTAAAACAAACGTTGGAAACTCCTGAGTAAGAAAAGTCCCTATTGGCTGTCTTAAAAGTCGCTAGATGACGTCATCACTTTGGGAGATTGTCAATAATTGTGATCTGAACTGTAGGAGATGTTGAAGAGGAAAAKAAAGTGAAGAAAAACATTAAATATGTTCAGAACCGCAATTAAACTTAATGAAACAAAAAACTATTTAATGACTTCAATCCATAGATCCACATCTTAAATTTAATCTGCAGACTATTAGATGTCACGAGGCACYCAGGGAGGATGAGGTGAGGAAGTGACTAATCTGTAAGTCAAATGCAGCCGGGTCCAGGGATTTATTTTAGAGAGACACTACAAAAAACATTACAGTAAATATTACATACGCTTTGTAAACCAGACAGGAGCAGTGGCAGCTTTGAGCATGCGTGATTCATTTGCAGCAGTCGGTCTGCTCTCAGCTGACTGCAGCCGGGGGTGGATAATCATCCATTATGTCCCTATATTTGGACTGATACAACTCCAGTCAGCACAAATCTGCACTTTAGTGCTCTTGTAGTTTAGCGTAACACAATGTAGAAATTCCACTTTGTTGTCAGTCCGCAAAAAGCAATTTGGCTTCTTTTCTTGTTTTCACCCTGCTACTTTTATTTTTCTGCAACATCTTTATTGTTTTTGGTGTACTTTTGTTGCAGCATTACAGCACCACATATAGACCTGGCATAGTTATAACAGAGTTTTCAGGGTTTCCGTGTGGATGAAATATTTCTAGAAATGGTGCCACATTTCAGAAGAAAAATTTTGTTTTGATTTTTAAAGAACGTTCTTGTGTGGACAGGACTATTATCCCTTTTTTAGTTCTAAATCCACCAGTTGCCTAATGTAGATGCAAGATTATATTTTTAATTCATTTCCAGAGTTTAATCTCCTAATGCTGCATTCACACCAAACAAGATTTGGGCGTCAAGAACGCATCCAACACTTCAAGTTGGATGCTTGTGCACTTTGAGGTCAGACGCTTGTCAAAATTGCTCTTGACGCACGTCAATCACGTCGAGAGCCACCTCTGCCGGTCTCTGGTGGATGAAATAAAGGAAGTGGCTTTGCTTTATTTACTGAGAGCAAGAGACAGTTGCACTCACCAGATAATTAATTCATAATTAATCCACCAGATAATTCAGAGACGTTCTGAGTTTGGTGAGTTTCACCACTCCAGGATCTGCGAGCTGACGAGACTCGCTTTCAGATATAATTTTGTCCTGAMCTCAGTTTGACMAGCCGCTGACCATCTGTGCCAATATCTCCTGCCAGGACACTGACTYCAGGCACTCGATTTCAGCTTAAGAGCTCCTGTCCACCTGTGTCAGGTTAGTGGACATCACTCAGGAAACCATCCCGTCTAAAAATATGTCACTACGTCACACAGTGGAGTCTCTCTGATTGGTTGACGCTGCGCGTCGAGCTGCAAAATTCTGATTTTCCAACTCTAGTGTTCGAGGCGCGTAACGTTCATCAAGCACGTCAAATCCTCAAAAGGCTTCAAAACACACCCTACTAGATGCACCACAGCACTTCCCGATGCTCCTTGACGCGTGTCCACCATAGACTGCATGTAAACCTGACACCCTGATGCTCAAAACGCTTTTGGTGTGAACACAGATAATTATTTTATAAATTCAGGAGCGAAGTCCGTACACTGTTTAAAAGGTTGATGTAATGGATTAAGCAATACATTTTCATGTGGTAAAACAGAGTACAAAGCTCTAAAAAATGTATTTTTTATTTATACACTCTTACACTCTTAATTAGTTTGATATTACCTATATGAATAGGTTATTTATTAGCATCAGTTATTTCATTATTATTAAGAAACTTTTATTTTACCAGGAAAAATCCCACTGAGATTAAAAACCTCTTTAATAAAGGAGTTCTGGCCAAGATAGACAGCAGTAAGTACAATTAATTTACATAGTTACACTTTAAATTACTAAAAGGAAATATTAAACACATTTAGAAGCAAAACTAAGAACATAATGGAATAAAGCACAAATCTCCTCAGTATCAATTTAAAAGCTCTCAAAGATATAATGTCTCTTAATACAAGCCATTATTTTGTTTGTTTTTGCATTAAAAGTGAAACAAAACTTATTTTGAAAAAGAAAAAACAGCTTTAATCTCAGCTTCTTCACAAGTTTCATATGGAGGTGAAAAGTGAGGAAGTCGTCAATCAAGACACCAAAGTATTTATACTGGTGAACTACTTCTATTTCATTTCCCTGCAGAGTGGTCACTGAGGTGGTTGTTTGCATTTGATTTCTGGATTTATAGATCAACATAAGTTCAGTCTTATCTGCATTATGAACAAGCTTCAATTGCAATAATGAGTCCTGTATAACTCAGTCAGTAACCTGAGCAGGACTTAATGCACAGCAGTAAATAACCATGTCATCAGCATAAAAATGTAAATTAGCATCTGACACATTCAGACCCAAATCATTTGGATATGAATTTATGTTATGAACTTTGGGAAAGCTTACTAACATAAAAAATGTACACAGCCTTTTTTTATATTATTAATATTTTCTCTCTGACCAGAGTCTCCCTAAACAACATTTTTCTCAGATCTAGTCACACAACATTTCTGGCCTTGTGGCTTAAAAACATCCAAAAAGATCTCAGCTTCCCTCCGTATTTCCTTTTCTCTCGCCAACCTTTTTCCCTTTTACCAACTGCCAGACGCAAAGAGCAGCCATACTGCTTCACTTCCACTTCTTCCTGCAACAAAATGAAAGCTTTCTTTTCTGTTTTATAACTGTCACACACTGGCACGTGTTGTAAATATCCCGATTAAGTTTGATCCTTCCGGTCAGTAAGACATCTCAATGATAATGTAATGATTCAGGGATCAGCAGTCTTTAATCCAAGGCACTACACTGACTGTAATTAGAGAAGGCAAATCTTTTTCTTATTATGGAATCAGCTGCTTCAGCTCAGCAGGGAAGCTGCAAACATGAGATAAGAGCTCAGCAACGATCTGTCAGGTAGATGAAACTGCATCACTTTCTGTTAATTTGTTTGTTTTTTTTTTACAGAAAAGCAGTGCTGATTAGGGTTCTTAATGCTTTTAACATTCATCCAAGTAATATCAAAGGAGAAAAACATCTCATTCGTTTGCCATTGAAACGCATTACTTTATTGTAGGCTTAAAATGATCAAATTAATACAGCATCAAAGTTTGTTGTATTTACTGTGGCATTTATGGGCTTTTTTTCATCTAAGACTGAACTGAATTAATTATTTACTTGTGGAAACAAACACTTTCCCTGAAATGTGAAACTCGGATCACATTCAGTGTGAAATGTACAAAACTCWGCTGTGATAAGTTTATCTTTGGTTTTCTCACAGTGTAAAGACACTCACCTGTATGCACACACAGGCTCTTTGGTTGTTGTTGCTGATTTTTTTTTTCACACCCACAAATCATCTGTTCCTATCTCCAGGGGTCCGCAGGTGCAGGCAACCAAAGCTGCTGCCGGTGTGAAAAAGTACGATCTGAGCAAGTGGAAGTATGCTGAGCTGAGAGATGTCATTAACACTTCCTGTGGTGAGAAACTCCTGAATCCAGTTTCAGCTGGAGGTTGGCTTTTCGGGAGCTCTGAACTCCCACCCAATCTCACAAACAAACACACACACACACACACACACACACACACACACACGCACATTCCGAGCACATTTAAGTGTTAGGAGTTGTTAGTTACTCCTTCAGCTCAAATTTATTTATTGTTTTTTAAACCAAATGTTAGACAATTCAGCACCAACTCGTGTTTTGGCACTTCTGGTACCCAAACTCGTGTGGCGTCACCAGCAGGCCTTTCATCAGGACGTCATGTCTTTGAGTTGCCAGAGTAGCTGTTGAAATGCTTCAACTTCAGCTGTCCAGAGTGTGAACATGATGGCATGGCGGGGGGGGGGATCATCAAAGGAGCAATGTGAGGATGTTTCCACTTACGCTGTGGCTCACTGCCTTGTGTCTTAGTGGTGGAGAGAGGAAATTATTACCATCATGAAAGATGGCTAACATTCGCTTCTTCTCAGTCAGCATGAAAGGCTGAGGACTTTCTGATGGCTCCCACTTCGGCGCCTCCTTTAACATCGCCGCTGTACTCGGATCAGATTCAGGCCTTCCAAGGACATCTGGATCATTTGTGAAAGGCAGTGGCTCGGATGGAGAATTTTCTGTGTGCTTTCTTAATATAAACTGTATTACCACAAACCAGGGGTATTTCTCAAACTTTCACAAGGTTTAATCCAAATTGCAAATGTTCATTGAATGCGGGAAATCCTGGGGTAATGCCGAAACAAAATGACGTTAAGGAATTTCAGAAATGTGATTTTACTTTAATAATATGAGTGGTAAGGAGATGTCAACTGATGCACCTCAGTTCATATTTTATCTATAATATTAATGTATTTAATATTAATATATCCCTAAATAAGTCTTTAATTTGAAGGAGTACAATGAACGGAACATTTAATAGAAACAAGTTTTCTTAGGTTTGAAGCCACCACTTAGTCGAATTATTATAAAGATAGTTTTATTAACTTGTTGCTGTTTAACAAAAATAGGTTAATAAACTGTGAATAAAAATACAAAAACTTTATACGTTTTACTATAGTATTACCCTAAACTATTTTGTTTGACAACATTAGGATTTTTTTGTTTTCCTGTTAAATGTTTTTTTTATGTATTAAATGTGGAAACGTCAAGTTAGGACTTCGGTGTACACCTATTTGTGAGAGGTTTATTGGTTCTTGTAACAGCAGCAGAACCAGCTTGATACCTGATGGAAAGATGTGAGCAGTTGAGAACGTCTAATCTAACGCTCAGCATGAAACCTAAAGGTCCTTTCACCTGAAACGTTAAAGAGTTTGTGCTGCTGTTCTCCTGGTGTAAAGCTCCGTCATGTTAAAGTTCACCACTTTGACAAATTCCAGGATGTGTAAAATGGTTAAAAAAAGGTATTAATTCATTTGTTTAAATTCACAGACATTGATCTGCTGGCAGCCTGCAGGGAGGAGTTCCACCGTCGCCTGAAGGTTTATCACGCCTGGAAGTCCAAGAACAAGAAACGTGACGATGATGGGAGTTATCAGAGAGCTCCCAAATCTATCACAGACTATGGTCAGTAAAGAACGTTCCTTGACATAATATTTTATGGATCTAAATGTGTTTAAAGTTATGTCTCAACAGTGGAAATGAGAAACAGTGACCATACTTTTAGAAAGTGTACGGCACATAAACAATGTTTATCCTGGACGCTCACCTTCTCCTCCAGGAAACACTAACCAATAAAAAAAGGTTCTTCATCTTTATTACAAATCAGTTTTTATAACGTTCTCATCACAGCCGAGCAGAATCCAGCGCCGCCAACGACKGCCCAGCATCACGAAGTCGCGATGAACCGTCAGCAGCGCTACTTTCGCATTCCCTTCATCCGTCCCGCCGACCAGTACAAGGACCCCCAGAATAAAAAGAAGGGCTGGTGGTACGCCCACTTCGACGGGCCGTGGATAGCCAGACAGATGGAGCTTCATCCTGACAAACAGCCCATTGTTTTGGTCGCAGGTGACTCATCAGCCTTTTCTTTGTCTCGTTCCAACAAAGACATGGTGATGTGACAATTATATTCAGATGAGCCTTTTATGTCATTGCAAAAAATGAATATTGAAGCCGTTTATTTAGCAAGTTTAATCTCTCACCTGATGCTAAGCTGATGTGTATTTTTCTCTCTCTCTCTCGGGGATAAACGTTGGGGGAAATTTTGTTCTTTCAGTAAACCCGTGCTCTTTGGCTTTCAGGCAAAGACGATATGGAAATGTGCGAGCTGAGTCTGGAGGAGACGGGCTTGACCAGGAAGAGGGGGGCAGAGATCCTGCCCAGGCAGTTTGAAGAAATCTGGGAGCGCTGCGACGGGATTCAGTATCTGAAGAAAGCCATAGAGAACAAGCAGGCCCGCCCGACGTACGCCACTGCCATGCTGCAGAGCCTCCTCAAGTGAACCAGAGCTGCCTCTGAAACACGACACGGAAGCTGCACGGTGCAGCTGTGGTAGGATGCTCTCACAACTTCCTGTTGGCGTGCAACTCACAGAAACGTCTTTACTTTTTTGTTGTTTATGTCTGGCTTTTTAAACATTTTTGCAGTGCAACACTTAAGCTGTGTAGCGTTAGCYTTCAAGCTAAGTCTTTCTAAATCTATGCATGAATTGACAATCCCACAGAGAGGCCTTAAACTGCGTTATTGTTGCACCACAGAAGTCTGAATTGTCTTTTTTCTTTTTTTCAAGCTTCTTATAAGAACAACAACCAGTTACAGCAAAATGTTTTAATAGTGTGTAATCCTCTTGTGATGCCATAAAATCATGCTTTATGTGGGTATTCTGAATATGAAGACATACAATTTGGATACARTTGGGATATTGGCATTGTTCACATATAATCAGACATGTGTTGCAAAATTCAATCAACACATTTAGCAAAATATTCTAATATGGAAACTCATTCAAGTCTTTTAAARCAATTTCTTTTAACTCTTGAAAAATGGGATGTTTTTGTATTGTTGCTCATTTGATATGTAAGAGGGAAATGTTTTCATGTGTGCAGTTTGGTGGGTATGAGGTCGTTTTACAGACAGTGATGTCATTTGTGTGTGTTTGTTTTGTGCGTTTATTTAATTCAGTTGAATACTGGACCCCCTGTTACGGTCAGAGCGGGAATTCTTCAGTCAATTTACTTACTAACCCTTGTTTGGACTTAGTAACATAATTATTATGAATCTTGTTGTTGACATGACTATAATTACTGAGTTACTGTCAATCATCTCATCTTTAACTTCAAAGGCCTTTGCTCTGAAAATAAACATGTTCCTGAGACGAGCTTGACTGTTTTAATTTGTTGTTGTTGTTTTTTTTGTTTGTTTGTTTTGTTTTGTTTTTTGTTTTTTTTTTTGTTTGTTTTTTTGTCTTTTTATTTTTTAACCTTTCTTATTTAAATAACAAGTGAAAATGACACAGAAGTGAAATATACACTCACTGGCCACACCTGTCTAACTGCTCATTAAGGCAAATATTGAATCAGCCAATCACATGGCAGCAACTCAATGCATTTAGGCATGTAGACATGGTCAAGACGATCTGCTGCAGTTCAAACCAAGTATCAGAATGGAGAAGKAAGGTGATGTTATGGCAGAGGCACAGAGACAGGCCAGGTTGTTGTCTGTGTTTCCTGATGTTGCAATAAAACTCAGCTGATCATCTCACGGAGTACCTTCATTCTTGGACCACGTATTTCTGTCTTTGTTAAATAAATATTACCATAACAGGTGATTTAAGTGACTTTGAACGTGGRATGGTTGTTGGTGTCAGACGGGCTGGTTTGAGTATTTCAGAAACTGCTGATCTACTGGGATTTTCACCCACAACCATCTCTAGGGTTTACAGAGAATGGTCCAAAACAGAGAAAATATCCAGTGAGCGGCAGTTCTGTGGGCGGAAATGCCTTGTTGATGCCAGAGGTCAGAGGAGAATGGGCAGACTGGTTCGAGCTGATAGAACAGCAGTAACTCAAATAACCACTTGTTACAACCAAGGTCTGCAGAAGAGCATCTCTGAACACACAACACATCAAACCTTGAGGCAGATGGGCTACAGCAGAAGACCACACTGCATGTCACTCCTGTCAGCTAAGAACAGGAAACTGAGGCTACAATCCACACAGGCTCACCAAAACTGGACAATAGAAGATTGGAAAAATGTTGCCTGGTCTGATGAGTCTCGATTTCTGCTGCGACATTCAGATGATAGGGTCAGAATTTGTTGTCAACAACATGAAAGCATGGATCCATCCTGCCTTGTATCAACGGTTCAGGCTGGTGGTGGTGCAATGGTGTGGGGGATATATTCCTGGCACACTTTAGGCCCATTAGTACCAGTTGAGCATCGTGTCAATGCCACAGCCTACCTGAGTATTGCTGCTGACCATGTCCATCCCTTTATGACCACAYTGTACCCAACATCTGATGGCTACTTTCAGCAGGATAATGAGCCTTATCATAAGGAGTGAATCATCTCAGACTGGTTTCTTGAACATGACAATGAGTTCACTGTACTCAAATGGCCTCCACAGTCACCAGATCTCAATCCAATAGAGCA